CGAGTGGGAGCTACGTTATTGGGTGCTGCAAGATGTCTTCTGTATCTGGGGGTTCCCGACTATAGATCTATTCACCACATATCAAAATACGAAATGCCCGTACTACTATTCCAGAGTGAGCAGGGCCGGACTGAAGCATGGGCGAGCCAGGCAGCTGCCCGGGACGCCAACCGATGGGGGACACCTGATGGCAGCTGTAAGGGGCGCGGGATGCCAGCAGCGCCGATCCCCCCCATGGCCGTGGGATCCTGTACGGCTCGGCGCGTGCGCCAGCAGCGATGGCCAGGCCGCGCATGTGCCATGCTCCCTGGGGGCGGGGCTGCGCATGCGCCGTGCGCCCCGGGGGCAGGGTGCCAAAAGGGCTCGGGCCGGCCCTGAGAGCGAGCATTGGACAAAGATTCCTGGGCGACTCATTCCTCCTCAACTGGAGTGCTCATCTGCTTTATGCCTTTCCCCCAAATCCTATGATACCGAGAGTCTTAAAAGATCTCCAGGGCCAATGCAACAGTAATTCTCATAGCTCCCTTTTGGCTGCATCAGACATGGCTCCCTTATCTTTTTCGCATGTCTCCTCACCCACCCTATCACCTACCCAACCTTTTGACCCAGGACTAGGGAACACTAGCACCCTAAACCTGATCACCTTCACCTCACATCGTGGTTCCGAGACTCGGAAATGATCTGTTCCCAGGATGTTAAACATGTCCTGCTCCAGAGTAGAAGATCCACCACTCGGACTACTTACCTGCACAAGTGGCGTATGTTTCGTTCCTGGTGCACTGATAACAGTCTAGATCTGACTTCTGCTCCCATTCATCGCATTCTCGACTACATCCAGCATTTAAAACATTCCAACCTAGCGCTGGTTTCTCTCAAGGTTCACCTTGCTGCAATCAGCGCTTTCTTACAGCCAGTAGAGGGCTATTCTGTATTCGTTCCCCTAATCATTAGGTTCGTGAAAGGGATGGCTAATCTCCACCCACCACGTAGAGAACCGTCTCATCCATGGAATTTAGAATTTGTCTTGGATGCCCTAACACGACCACTCTTAGAGCTCTTGGCAGCCTGCCCTCTGTTGCTATAAACTAGACAGGTTGCCTTCTTGTTAGCGATAATATCTGCATGCTGGGTGGGGGAGCTTGCCATGCTCTGTGCTACACCTCCCTATATAGTATTTACAAATCGGGATTATACTCCACCCTCAACCATCCTTCTTGCCAAAAATAGGCTCGTTGATGTGAAAGGCTGAGTTTATCATCCTCCCAACCTTCTATCCTAAGCCACCCTCCTCCCAACATGACGCTACACTTCACATATTAGATGTGCGCAGGGCACTGGTTTTCTACATCGATAGGACACGACCTTGCTGGAAATCTCAACAACTGTTGATTTCAGTGGCCGATTGTTCTAAAGGCGAGTCTCTCTCTGCACAATGCATCTCCAAACTCATTGTTCAGGGCATAGTACATTGCTATTTGGTGCAGAACAAGCCGCTACTAGCGACACCAAGAGTCCATTCTAACAGGCTGTAGGTGCTGCTACTGCCCTTTCTCAAGGGAGTTTTCCTATGTGACAGCTGTTGAGTGGCCACATGGTCCTCTAACTACATCTTTGCAAAGCATTACACTATTCCCAACAATTTCAAGAGTGACGCAGTAGTTGCCTCTGCAGTGCAAAGCCAAGGGAGCTACTTTGCTTCACTGAGGATAGTCATTCTTGTCCATCTGTGGTCACCAACCCGTTGATCACAATCGACTGGTCAATCGTGAGGCCTCGACCAGTCAATCGCGAGGTGTTCGGGCAACTCTTCTCCCCCCCCCCTTTTCCCTCCACCCCGAAGAAGCCCCACTACCTACCTCTAGTGTAGTGCTGGCTTCCCGCAGAGTGGACAGAAGTCCTCTCTGAAGCTCGCATCACTGCTGGGGGTTCTGGAAGCGCGCTGGCTGCTCCCCCTCCTACACCTCTGTTGTGTGCTGGGGGAGGGGGGGTTGGCCCTAGAGGAGGAGTGCGGAGGGGTGAGTTGGGCGCAGGGATGTCCCTGGGCTGCGGGAGTCGGGCCCAGGGTTTGGCCGCGCTGCGGGATGGGAGAGAGTTGGCCGTGCTGTGCCATGCTATGGGAGGGGGGTTTGACCCCAGGGCAGGTGCCTGCGGGCGTTGCCCCTGCTGCGGAAGGGGTGGGGATTGCCCCTGGTGCAGGCCCCCGTGGGGGTTTAGCCCCGCCGCGGAGGTGGGGGTTAGCCCCAGGTCATGCACGCTTGGGGTTTCCCTGCGCCGCGGGGGGCCCAGAGGAGGCATGTGCTGGCTTCCCGCGGGGGGCGGGAGAGAGAATCCTGGGAGGAGGCAGATGGAGGTGACTCTGCTGCCACTGGCACCCTGTCCCTGCTCCCCAGACTCCACTCCCCTGTTGCCAGCTACAGAACTCTGTCCCCACTCTCCTGTACGCAGCTACAAAGCTCTGTCCCCACTCCCATCCCTGCTTCCCGGACTCTGTCCCCACTCCCATCCCTGCTTCCCGGACTCTGTCCCCACTCCCATCCCTGTGCCAGCTACAGAACTCTGTCCCCACTCTCCTGTACGCAGCTACAAAGCTCTGTCCCCACTCCCATCCCTGCTTCCCGGACTCTGTCCCCACTCCCATCCCTGCTTCTCAATAAACATCCAAGACTCTTTTAAAAATGATTGATGATCTGGTGCCGAACTGTGTGCGCAGCGTACACAGGCCAGACACACTGCCCCAGTTGCAAGAGTGTGACCGGGTACATCTCATTACTTCTTCAAGCGGTTGGATTCCCTTCCCGTTCCTTATGCAACCACAAACGTACACTTGTGAAATGAGGGTGCCATCGGTTTAATAGGTTTATCACAGTGTGTAGGTAAGGGCTGGGGCCAGCAAGTGATGGACAGGAGGAGAAGGGGGGGGCGGTAGATCGCTCGTGGGGAGGTTTAAAGAGATCCTGGGAGCACTAAGTGGAAGGGGTAGGGGTCTGGCCCTGGCCCGGGGCGCTGCCAGGTGCTCCCCACTTTCAAAAGCCCCGCCCCCAGCCTTGGGGCGGGATGACAACCCCGCGTTTAACAAGTCATGAGACCAGGCCCAAGGGGCTGGGTCAGGT